CGCAGTGATTTTAGTTCAGCACGATGCTCATTTAATGTTCCCCACATCCTTCTTCAAACACTTCAAACATGCTGTAAATAAAAGACGGAGTGAAAACGTGGCGCTTCCAGCTGATTTATAATCAAAATGATCAAACCTGCTGTTTGAGTTTGTGTCCTCTCAGCTGCTGTTTAAAGATTTCATATAAAACACAGACTCGGTCTACGTACACATTTGACATGAGGTCAGTAATTAGAGTCTGTGTCCTGTTCTAAGATCATACGTGTAAAATTGTTTTTAGGCAACATGAGAAAGTTAAATATAGTTGTGTCTGTGACTTTATATTACTGATAGCCATCAGGGAAACACAAAGACTGGAGGCAGACGGGCTGTTTTCATCATCAACACATTTCCATGTGTTTCAGTTTTACAGCAGGACCCTGCTGTACATTAGACAGTTTTGTAACTTACTGGCGATATGAGTGTTTACGTTTTTCATTACAAAAAAATTGTCGGACTTTGTAACTGAAGTTAACTTGGAACACCGGGGCTGTGAGCTCGGTACTCTGTACACGCTACGCTCCGCTAACAGTCAGCTGGAACATTGCCGGAAACATCTGAGCACTTTTGCAAACATGTTGACAACCTGACCAGAGATGTGAAGATTACGCCACTACATTTTGAAATGCATTCTGGGATACCTGGCTTCCCCACACTACCACCAGTTCATAGTGATTGATTATCTAAGATCGACCTGTCTTGATTAACTTTGCACAGTAACCAATCAGATGTTAGACAAGCTGCAGCGGCAGCATTAACCCCGCCCCCGGGTGTGCTGGGTGAGGCTGACAGATAAAATTGATTCAAGAACACAGGAGGGCCAGGAGTGCCAAAAAAATTATTAAATAATTAATTACATTTGTCATTAATGAAATAATTAAATGTGTCATGAATTAAATACAATTTGGAATAAATAAATACAGAATTTATTAAATGTTTTAAATGAAATGAATCAGCATTTATTGAATTATTTAAACATTTATTTAATTAATTCCAATTTTAATGAATTGATGAAAGATTTAATTAATTATTTAATGGTGTATTTAATCAATTCCTTTTGGCACTCCTGGCCCTCCATATACTTTGTGTGTAAAGGTTGTAATGTCTCTAGTGCTGTAACTTCACAAAACCTCACAAAACCACGGGGTTGGTGGTACAGACCTTTAATAAACTGCAGTATTGTCCACATGTTCACATGCTAGGTATGTTTTTGGTAGTCATAACATGAGCAAGTATGATATAGATATCCAGCAAAATCCCATTTCCAAATCTGCCCACGGAGTTTGATTTAACCAGCTGATCTTTTCCCTTTAAGCTGGTATTCTTATCTTGTAATTGCTGCAAGTGTATTTCTCCCTTTTGTCTCAGCAGGCTTTATTATAGTATAACTTGCTTTCTTCTTCTTATTTGACATTCATTTACTTACTAATACAAACAAGTAGCCACTAGCTTGTTACTGTAAAGAAAAGTTATGTTGTAACTAATGTTGTTGCATAAATGGATACTTTGTGTACACTTTGTTTTATTTGTTGTCAGTCAGCCTGCATTGTGGCTTCACTGTGATTTTCACCCCTCCTGTTTTTAATGTTTTTGTAATGTGAAGATTTTTCCTCTTCTTTTAGCACAAGTCGCTTTCTGATGCCCATTTTGCAAGAAAACTTTCCCTTCATACAGAAATCCTCAAGAACACTGGTAAGATGCAGGCGAGACCCCGACGTCCCCGCACTATTAATAGGCTCCACTCTGTCTTCTTTGTAGATCACTGATAAAACGTCTTCCTTCCAG